GACGTCAAACAACCTGAAAACAGGGTTGAAATGATGAGGCCACGGACAGACTGCCAGGCAGCGCAATCAGCTTGCTTTTGGGAAATTTATAAAATGGAGCAACACTTCTCCTTGCCTTTTGGAGAGCTGACTTGGAATTTAGGAAGTCCAGGGAGTTTTGGTATGTTGTGTGATCATTGAAACTAAGTTCTAAAGACAGTGATACTTTAGTTTCTTTAATGCATCAGTGAAATGAAAAGGGAACCAACCATATGGGAAAATATGTTTCCCAATGACACCTTGGACAAGTGTTTGATCTCCAAAATATATAAAGAACTCACAAGACTCCACTCCAGGAAGACAAACAACCCAGAAGACAAACAACCAAGAAGACAATTAAAAAATGGGCAAAGGACCTAAACAGTCTCTTCTCCAAGGAGGACACACAGAGGGCCCAGAGACATAGGAAAGGATGCTCAGCATCACTAGCCATCAGAGAGATGCAAATTAAAACCACAATGAGATACCACTTCACACCAGTTAGAATGGCCATCATAAACAAATCAATAAACAATAAGAGCTGGAAATATTGCGCTGGCTGGTGTGGCTCAGTGGATTGAGCACTGGCCTGCAAACCAAAGCGTTCCTGGTTTGACTCCCAGTCAGGGCATATGCCTGTGTTGCGGACCAGGTCAGGTCTTCGGTAGGAGGTATGCCAGAGGCAACCACACATTGATGATTTTCTTCCTCTCTTTCTCATTTCCTTCCCCCCTGTCTAAAATAAATAAATTTAAAGAGAGAGAGAGAGAGAGAGAGAGAGAGAGAGAGAGAGAGCGAGAGAGCGCTCAAGCTGGCGATATTATGGAGAAAAGGGAACCCTAATACACTGTTGGTAGGATTGCAGACTGGTGCAACCACTATAGAAAACAGTATGAAATTTCCTCAGAAAACTGAAAATGGAGCTACATTTTGTACCCTAAGAGTCCCGAAACATCATATTCAGAAGAACCTATGCACCCCAGTGTTCAGAGCAGCACAATTTACAATAGCCAAGTTCTGGAAACAACCTAAGTGCCCACTGGTAAATGAGTGGATCAAAAAACTATGGTACATTTACACAAAGGAATACTATGAAGCAGAAAGAAAGAAGGAGCTCCTACCCTTCATGACAGCATGGATGGAACTGGAAAGCATTATGCTAAGTGAAATAAGCCAGGCAGTGAAAGACAAATACCATATGATCTCACTTATAAATGAAACCTAATCAACAAAACAAACAAGCAAGCAAAATATAACCAGAGACATTGAAATAAAGAACAAATTGACAGTAACCAGAGGGGAGGGGAGGAGAGAGATAATGGGGGAAAATAGGGGAAGGATCATCAAGGAACATGTATAAAAGACACATGGACAAAGCCAAAAGGAGATAGGATTGAGGGAGGGAGGTGGGGGTGAGAGTGGTATGGGGGGGAAATGGAGACAACTGTACTTGAACAACAATTAAAAAATGAATAAATAAATTTTAAAAATAAAAAAAATGTTTCTTTAATGCCACTGGCATTACGATGTAGCATATTGAAATCCCAAACTCTTATCCCATGGGTTGTATTTATGATTCTGGCCTGGCGCCTAAATGGTTTTGGCTAAAATAACAAGAATGGCAACTTCTCTCCTTGTCAGATTAGCATCTGTGGCCGACACTCTCTCCTTGAGTGAGGTGAGAACAGTGACTTTGCTTCTAACCAGCAGAACACCAGCACTCTTTTGATGAGTTTCCTCTCTCTCTCTCTCTCTCTCTCTCTCTCTCCATATATATATATATAATATCTGTCTCTATTATCTGTATCTGTGACTTCACCTTTCTTGTGCCCCATAGAGAGACTGTATCTGCTAGCTCTGAAGAAGTAAGCTGCCATGTGGTGAGAGAGCCTTTGGTGAGGCCCATGTGGCAAGGTGCTGTGGAGGCCTATGGGAGGTGAGGTCCAAGCCCTTGGCTGTGCAGCCGGGAAATGAATGAGCCTGAATGACCCTGGACTCAGGTTCTTCCCCATGGAGCCCCCAGTGAGGATGCGGTCTGGTGGACACCACAGTTGCAGCCTCTGTGATCATCAGCAGTTCCGCTGTGACCCAGTTCCGCTGTGCCTGAACCCTTTCCCTGGAAACTGTGAGGCAACTAATGCGTGTTGTTTCGAGCCACTAAACTTTGGTGATTTGTTATACTGCAATAAAAACAAATATTGACATCATACTGTTAGGGAAAGCATCATTCCATGTATTGGCCAAGTCTTTAGTAGCTTTTTATTGCCTTTGGAATAAAGTCTTATAAGGACATTCAAGGCCTCTCATCATTTTACCTTATCTGGGTCAGTCTGATAAAGACTGTATCAACCCAGAAAAGAGTTCCGGGACAAAGACAGGCTGTTGAAGGAGTCCCTGGTGGAGCAGAAATCGCTCAGTCCCAAGGCTAGTCTCCCTAATTCCTCTGCGTCCTGACTCCTGCACTCCTCCTGAAGTTAACTGTCTGCTTATTGTATATACCCATGTTCTACACTTCGGTACTAGCAACAAAGTTACTTTCATTTCCCAGTTCTTCCTATTCTAAACCCTACTCATTTTTTCTAAAATCACATGTGATTTATTCCTCCTCACCCCAACCTGGAAGTAATTTATTTCATTTTTTCCATTGCTCCTTATGTAGTATACTTTTCATACTGCACTGTATTGTAGCCATAAATATTGGTAGACATTTGTCATTCTTTTTACCTGCCCAGCATCGAACATACTTGCCAATACTTAGGGGATTCCCTATTCTATAAATCTTGGTGGGAAACACAGTCTGCCTTCCTTTATAGAAGCTAACCCTGCCGAATCCTCACTTTCTCAGCATTGCTTTCAGTTAAGGTTCAATAAATACAAACAAACTGAGCTGAATGTATTGATTATTTAAATGTTTTAAGATTTTTGTATAATTCCTCCAGATTAGAGGAATAAATAAATAAGTTATTAAAACAAATATCATCCAACTGAAGTTATAAATGTTAATTTTCAGAAAGTTTATATATGTAAACAGATATAGTATGTACAAAAATGTGTGAATTTTTCTGAACCAGAAGCATTTTATTCACTAATGCTTGAATATTTATTTTAGTCCTCTAGTCAGGAGATTGCACACACATACTTGTATATAGACTTTCGCGATACACTTTGTAAACTTTGCAGAGAGGGCCCAGAGTGTTAACAGTCTGAAAGCCTCTCATTAGTGTTCCTATTAAACTTTGTATCCTTAGGAACGTATTGAAATGCAGTAAATGTTCAATTAATATCCGTTTAACACAAGAGCCAACTTTATCTAGGAATGATATCTTATAGATTTCATTTACAAGGCAAACAAGCTTTAATGTAACCCAAGATTATCCTGTGGTAAGTGTTCCATGTTCCTATATTTCCAAAAGGTACTTATCAAGGAGATTATGAACTCAATGTCTCACATGCACTCATCATCATAACAGATGGGATGAGTACATTGAATACACCGGGCTACGGGATTTATTTCTTCTGTTTAACATCATTTGCCTGTTTCTCCTCCCACCCCCACCCACCCTGACTCACATGATTGTAAGGTGGGTAGTTAGTCAAAAGTCAAAGAAAACCATAGAAATTCAACTTACAGTATAAGACAATTTCAGAATTGTTGATTTTAAAGTATTCTATTGGCTTTGGCAGTCAGTATTTTTGGTTTTTCTCATTATGGTGGCAAGCAGAGCTGGTCTTGACAAATGAACAGATAGAGCAAATGAGAAACGCCAGAAGGCCTAGGGGATGCCAAATGGCCTAGTGAAAGGAAAGGGGGCTCGCCGCCCAGGACATTGATGGGTGCGCAGTGTGTTGCTGGAGGAGGACTTCTAAGCTGGGGAGGAGGGGAGGGAAAGTTTGCCATTTTCAGGAATGATAAATTGCACCTTCAATACTAAACTGTTGAATAATAAATTGAAGTCTTTTGTCCAAACCAATACTTACCTGTCCTTTTTCAAATTAGCAAGGACATTATCCTGCCTGAAGTAGTTGTTTCTGTTCTGTTCTAATCCCTTACCCCCTGCTTCAGTCCTGTTCAATCGTGTTTTGCTGCCCAAGGTGTGGTCCGAGGGCCAGCAGCAATGGGCATTACCTGGAAGCCTGTTAGAAATGGGGAATCTCAGACCCCACTGAATCCACTGAAGTTTCTGAAGCTATTGAATCAGAAATGTCATTTAACAAGTTCCCCTGCTGATTCCAATACACAGAAACTTTTGAGAACCACAATAGAATTCTCATGTGTCCTACAAACCCACTGATGTGATTGTAAAGGAAAAACAAGGCCACGGAATGAAAATATTTTCTATCTTTTTAACAGAACCATTTCCCAGCAGAATGGCACCAGTTTTCCCTTCATGGCCATTCATTCATTCTTTCATTCATTCATTCAACAAATACTTGGCAGATCGGCAACATAGTTAGCAATTGACATTTGTTGAGCAACTTTAATCTCTAGACGTCCGTGCAGTCGCTGTGCATATTTTGTGCACGAGGAAATTGAGGGTAATGAAGAGAAGAAGTAACACATCCTAGATGGCGCTGACAGTGTTCAGTGGAGGAACCGGGGTCCTCTCTGAAGGCATCGCTCACGCTCCGCCAATCTTTGCTGCCCACACAGAGTGCACATTTATTCTCTCTGCTCTGCGGGAATATTGCACAAGATCAGACTTCCTCTAGTCAAGGGGCCGAGTTTTTCCTCCGTCTGGCCCTCTGTGGCGGGCAACCGCTAAATTTGGGGGTCAGAGAAAAGAGTAATCAAGTTCCAGAGCCAACACTTTCCAGGCTCTTGGATCGAGTCGCGGGGGGCAGAAGAGTAAACTTGCAACATCCTGGCCCAAAGGACAAACACCTACACATGCCATTTAAAGCTTCCCTCTATCTCGGTCCTCCCAGCAAGGGCATTAGAGGCGAGAAGAGAGCCTAGACCACACTTCCCAAAACCAAGATGGCGGCAGTGTACTCCTTGCCCACAATTGACTCCTTCACCGCCGTTCTGTCTCCATGGTACCAGCCTAGGCCAGGCGAGCTTGGAAACGTTGAGCATTTCCCTCCCCCTCATTTTTTGCGACAGTTACAGCGAAAGTCACGGCTGTGGAGGCTGGTGTCAGCTGATTTACCGCAGCGGCGGCGGCTGCAGCGGCAGGAGCTTCACCCTGCAGCTCCGGCGGGGAGCGGCGGCTGGGATAGGGTTTTGGTCCCCAAGGTTTTCCCCGCCCGGATTTTCCCACTACACAGTCTTCTTAGATACGTCCTTGCTTTGTGCTCCTTTGCCGGGGCGTCTACCTGTGATCCGACAGACAACATCACCGCATGAGATGAAGCTGTGACAGGTAGAGAAGGGGCTTTCGAGCCTCCCCAGGGGGATCTACAGTGCAGGGTGTGCCTACAACGTGGAGGTCACGGGGCCCGGGGTCAAGGGTCACAGCCCGCTGCCTCCCGTGGTGGCGCCAGATGTCAGAGCGCTGCTGCCGAAAGCCCGGAGCCGTGCCGCGCCTGCAGGTTCAGGGCCCCAGGGAGGCACCCTTGCCCGGATCGTGGGTCTTCCAGGGGGTCTTTGGGGCTCCCTGGCGTGGTAAGTGACATTTGCTTTGGTGACACTCGCTGTGATCTTGAGATGGGACTGCCCTGCTCTCCAGGGCAGTCTAAACGGGGTGAGGTGGTAAGTGCTAATGGGTGGGTGGTTATTGACAGTGTTTTCCGATAATGTGCTTGTTTGGGGGAACATGTGGTCTCTCCTTACCTGTGGGCACTGCTCTTTAGCTTGCCCTTGCCTAAGGTATGGAGGCGCCTATTAGTGTTTCATCTTTGAGAAGCCACTTGCCTGTTCTCATCCCTTTGCATAGGACTTGGTCTAAGAAGATGCGTGCAACTCCCTCTCACAAATGGGACCAACATTCTGAAGCGATGTTTGGAATCAGCCCTGCCTTGTCTCTGATTCAAAAATTACGTTTTAAGTTTTGATTCACTTGGTTGGTTTTTCAAGTGCTAGGCACTTACAGTTTGCAACAATGGTACAGTTGCTACAGTTACAGCGCAGGATGCAGTGGTGTTGTTGATGCTGTTGATTTTAGGGTTCAGTGAGAGCTGCTGATGGCTTTCACAGTAACAGTTGTCACGACCCAAGAAAGACATGCCATGCATGGCTTTTGCAGATGTTAATTGCTTAGGACTTCGTGGACGAGATGGCAAAAATTGCTGTTGTATGAAAGTTCACTGCGTTTTTGAAATTTTGTTGCACACACAACTTGGAAATGTTGTGACAGGAGGGAGCAAAGGGGAGTTTAAAGGTGAAAATGATGTGTCCGAATGCTTTTGTTAGTAGGAAGAGTCAAAAATTGCCTTGATTTCATCCAAAGTGACAGGTCATAGTCATTTCAAATTCGAAAAATGGAACAGTGTAAATAGAAAATACCTCATTAACTTCAATTATAGCGTATAGTGGAGAAGTTCATTTGTTTACATGTCTATTTTCATTTTTTAAATGCTCCAGAGTCCTAATTAACAGCAAAACTAGAGTGTACACTTTATTATTTCTTACTGCCACCTATAGCTAAGTGTTAAAAGATCTTGATAATTAGATAAATCAAAACTGGGCTTTGCCATATTCGAGTATCACTGTGGGAACTTAAATTTTGAGGTAGTGGGCCTTGTATCTTACAAGTGTATTTTTATCTTGGATGTAAGTTATATTTTGAAGTGAAGGAAGTGGGGTAGTTTACGTATGTAACAGTCAGCATTGAAAACTTGCAAAGTAGTGAGCTGGCCTTGTGCCTTTGTCATGATGAGGATAGGATGACATTTGGTTTTAGTGGGGTGCTCTGTGTTTGGTGTTAGTCCTTACAGTCTGTTTTGGACCTCAGGTACAAAGGATTGAGCTAATCCTTTTTAATTCAGTGATCATCACTGGGCTGTTTAAGGAATGTCTTCAATTTTTTTTTAAATTCATTGTCTTTTATTTCCAATTTCCACTTCATTCCCTTGGCTATCAACCTGTAAGCAACCATTCTGATATGTGTGATGCATATCCTTCTGTTTGTACATGTCATTCATGTATATTGTTTCGGGTGCCTGTATTTTTAATTTATGGAGATGATGTCATGCTGTATGTCTCATTAAAATTGTTTTATCTACTTTGCTTGAAAGACCTGTTTGTGTCTCTGACTGCTGCACAATATTTCATAAGGTATACCTACTACATTTTATGTCTCCTCTGCCATTTGTGGATACCCACATTGCCTTCGTTTTCCTACCACTATTGACAATGCAATGATAAACATAGCTTGTAGAACTCTGTGGTGCTTTCTCTGAGATTCATATCCAAGAATGTGATTTCTGGATCGTAGGATATTTGTATACATATTTTACTGAAAGACTTCCAGATTGTGGTCCAGAACAAGCTGCAGTGGTCTGTGCTCCAGGAGGCAGTTCATGAGAATTTCTATATCCCTAGATCCCCACCAGCCTCATAGATAACAAAGTAAGAACTCATTTAAAATTACATTTCACTGTGCGTAATGAGATCGAACATTTCTCCACATGTGTTTTATCTCTTAAGGGGTTTCCCTTGTATAAAATTGCCCATTTATCACTTTCCCCATTTTATATTTGAGGTTTCAGTCCTGTTCTTGTTAGCCTGCAGAAGCTCCTTGTATTTCCTAGATACAGGTCCTTTAAATATTATACGTGCAAGAGTGTTCCAAGTCTGTCATTTGTCCACAACTTTTTTCACGACGTCCTTCATTGAACAGAAATCTTCCATTGCAATATAATCAAGTTAAAATTTTTGTATTGACTTATCATTTGTGTTTTGGGGGTTTTGTTTAAGAAGTTGTTTCTCAGCCCTGTGTCACAAAGTTACTGTCCTGTTGTATGTACTAACTTCATAGTTTTCTTTTAAATTTATAGGTTTTCAGTTCATCCAGAGTGTGTCTTTTTACCATCACGCACTGTGAAATGATGTTTCAGTCAATGGATAACATAGAGAATGGTGGTCCCATAAGATTATAATGCGGCTGAAAAGTTCCTATTGCCTAATGATGCCATAGCCATCATAACGTCACGGTTCAAGGTGTTGCATTGGTTCTTACCATTGTGTTTCAGTTGCCTCCAGTATTCGGTACAGGACCGTGTTGTATAGGTTTGTAGCCTAGGAGTTCAGGGGAACAGAATTTTTCATCCCTAAATATGTTTCTTTGACATAAGGATTATTTTAGGCTGGTTACTTGCAAGAAACGGTAGACAGGGAAGAAGTTCTGAAAACCAAGTGTAAGTGACTCTTTGTAAAAGACATTTACGTTTGTAAGGGTTTCTCCCTTGCTGGAAGCTGGGCTCGACCTTCTCTCTGGACACTCTTATCAGTGCAGAAGACAGTGCTGGTGAACCTGTGCATCAGCCTTACTCTCGCTGACTGTTGTTTTCCTGGTGACATCCTGTAACTTGCTTCCCACCCTCACATTTTTTCTGCAGAAGATTTTGAGGAGTTGCTGAGTGTTCATGAGTCTCTCCCAGGTATACAGGAGGTATATGTGTTTGTTTTTCTCCTGCTACCTGTCTTTCAGTACAGGGATGACTCAGTCAAGAAGCCAGAAAAATAGAGGGCAGTGATTGTCCCTCCCTACAGAGCAGGAAGCGAGTCCATGTAGTCTGGGTGTGTAGTAGGCTCTACAGTCTGTGTAAGTGCGCTCTATGATGTACACACAATGATGAAATCGCCTAAGGACTGTCAACCCACAGTCCTTGGCACCAATTAAATACCAATGGGAATCTCCACTTTAGGGTGTGGTGAAAAAAGGAAACTTTATTCAGCGAAAACAGGTCCACTGTGATACAGCAAGGCCATGGAACAGTTCACTGACAGCTCGGTTAAGGAGCAGCAGGGCTGTGAGGCGGCCGCGGAGCAAGGCAGCTCTGCCCCGCTCAGGTCTGCTCCACCCTGCTCCTCTCCGCCCGCTCTGCCTGCCCTGCGGTGCTTTGCTCCCATTCTGTTATGGTCCCGCAAGACTTGGTATCTCAACTCTAATCTGGGAAACACAGTCTTCAGTCTTTAGTGCAAAAGAAAAGTGCGGTCTCCAAGCCAGAAGGAAATCCCCTTCTCTCTGTCTGACTTACAGAGAGAAGTCCCGGGCCCTGGTCCCTGCGGGTCTAGTCTCATGCAAATGAGGACTCCAAATCTTGGCAGTTTGGTTGGTCCGAAAAGCACTTCCCTGATTGGTCAGAATGGAGCTGCTCTGATTGGTCAGTGAGGTTGCTAATGGAGATATAGCTGCACAGCTCTGATCAGACAGCCCTACTGGTTGAAAAACAATTCCAGGAATTCCTTCTTAAGGACTAAGTCAGATGGCAGGCACACAGTGCGAGCAGGCAGCGCCTGCAGGCTTCTCCCTGAAGTGTGCTTTATGTGAGATGCCTCTGTTTAGAAATGGCTGCCAGGTTCTGACTTTTCTTTTCTTTTCTTTTTTAAATTTGAACTCAGCCACCAGGAACCCTTCTTGGTTATCTTCTTTCGTGGGGTCCCCAGGATGCTTTTCTCAGAATATATCCCTGTTGTGAAGGGGCGCATGATGGTAAAAGGTGGGAGAAAAGTAGGTTTACGGTTGTAAGTACACAACACAGAGTTTATTCTTATATTATCATTTATTAGTTATTGTGCTATTTTCGGTTCAAACTGAAACCTGCTTTTGCCGCATCCTGTATATGTCACACGGTGCAGATCCAGTTTATTTTCCATGCAGTGCGCCAGTTTTCCCAGCGCCCTTCTCTCCTTTCCCCATAGACTAGCGATGCCACACTTACTGGATATTAAGTTCTTCTGTGCACTCTGAACAGTGGCCTGTTCCTTTGCTTTATTTGCTGGCTCTTGCTCTAATGCCACGCTGTTTTAAGGCTATGGCTTTGAATTTATTTCCCACATGAATGATTCTTCCTATTTATTTTGTTTAAGCTTTATTTTGAAATAAATATAGAGTCACAAGAAGTTCCAAAAATAGTTCAGAGAGGCCTAGTTTCCCTGCTAACCTGTCTTTTAGTACAAATGGTTACAGTTTATATAACTTTACCCAATTTCCCTCAGTGATTACATTTTATACAACTATAATATTGATACAATAGCAAAATCAAGAAATTGATATTGATATAATGCCTGTATATAGTTCTACCCATTTTACCACCTGTGTAAATAGATACATGTAGTCATCACTGCATCAAAATACAAAGCTGTTCCATCACCACAAAGATCTCCCTGCTACCCGCTCCTGGTCACCTCCACCTCCTGTGCCCCTACTCTCCCTAACCTCTGGTCAGTAATCAATTTTTCATCTCTGTGATTTTATCA